TGTCAATAAATATGATCCTCTGACAACTTCTGCATGGGAAGGAGTCTTAATTTTCATGTTTTCATTACTCCATTTTGCTTTCCTAAGCTTCACTGCGGTTTATGTAGGATATATGTGTTTTTCAATCTTATCCTGACATCTAATATTGCTAAATAGTTAAATAGTTGTATCATTTTCTGCAATTGAGGGCATCCACGTGCCTCATGATGATGTTACCATTTATAAAATTCAGGAAAAAGAAAGAAAAAATGCTTTTGCAACATCAGGAAATGAATATAATTGAGTATGTGACAGGAAGCGGAGAGATTACACTCACGCTGGTGACAGCAGCTTCTCAACACTGCTTTCATGTAACACTTTGATTAGTAATTACGTTGTTAAAGACACTCTATTCCTACCTTCATTTTTATATTGCTGTTCTGGTACATGTGAATAGAGGGTGGTGTTACATACAGTTGAAGTCGAAGTTCTTCTTTCCCCTTCCTCCCCCACATGAACACTTACAGCTTTCAAGAAATGCAGATGTTAGTTTTTGAGGACTCCTGCTTTTAAACGGAGGGTGTTGTTTGATCAGTAAGATAGTTTGCTCTTTGACTTAATCTCTGATTTAAAGCCAAATTTTGAACTCTTTGCTGTTGGGGAAGTTGATCGGCGGTTTTGGGCTGCACTAACTGAGCAAGTTTTCCCTTTTTCTCTAGAATTGGTGTCAACTATATAAATAAAGTCAACAAGAATGCTGGGGATGTTATTTTCTTTATAAAGGCTGAGCTACACGCCAGGATATTTTGGCACAGGGAAGGAAAGTTGGAATTGGAAGGATGTGTAGCTACTAGAAATAAAGATTTCTGATATGGAAAGCGTGGAATAATGGAATCCACTTGTTCCACACTATCATGGGTGGACTTGGGGGCCGCCTCCGTCAGGAAATGGAGAGGAACGATGGAGCTGGAAGGCTCGCTAGTGCTTCTTTCACAGGGCGAGAGATGGAAATGAAAGGAAAAAACGTGCCCTTTTGAACAAACACTTCAAACATGCCATTTCGGGGGTCTTTTCTGCTACCAGATGATTATAATTTTTTTTTAATCAAAAGCTGATAAATCTCAACACAATAGACTCAAACAATGCACCTCATACAAGCGAGTTGCTATGTGCCTACCACACGACGTGCCCTGGCAGTTTCTAGCCAGAAGCTTAAGTTGGACTTGATTAACAAGCCCGGTGCAAATCCGTGCTGGAACAGGCTGGCAGAGTGGTAAGGAAGAAGTTTCCTATATAGTGTTTGACTTTACGGACACAGGAACTGAGAAGCGAAGCTTGGGACATGAATCTCGAGACTGCACTGTGGCAGCTGCATACAAAGAAGCAGCCTATACATTTGAAAGCTTGAGAAGTAAACCGGCTGTGCATTGAAAGGTAGGCATTTGGAGGTGGTAAATTTAGCCCTGACTCATCCAGTGGCAATTTTGACACTTGGGTGGACTAAATTACTTTTAGGAGTTGCATCATGTTTTTACCAGATAGTTTGATTGAGCATGGTTTAACCCATTCATATACCTATGGCCAGATTCTAGACCTTTCTCACTTGAAATAACTGTGCAAGAATTTGTTTGTATATAATATATAGGACATAGATACGTTCTGGGTCACCAAGTTCCTTTCCTGCAATCATATCAATTAGTCTATTGCTTAAACTTATCAAATAACATCTTAAAACCGGACTCCTTTTTTTTTAAATTCACTACTCGTATTGTAAAAGACTTAGACCTTTACTGCTCATGGCTAAAAAGCTGTTTCCAAAAACTACTGAAAGTCTCTTCACAGCTTTGTCCTTCAAATTAAAGAGTTCTTTCCTCTCGCTGGTGTTAACTCCTCAAGTATTTATGGAGAGCACTCCTGTGCCAAGCTCTTCAGCCCCTTCCTATGGACAGGCGCCCTGTGTCCTCAGCCACCTTAGCAGTCCTCCTTTGCGTCGTTTCAACACGAGGGAGTTGGAATTGCGCACATTATTGCGGACGGGTGCATTTACAATGGCGTTGATACTTCCCGATCTCTACCAGAAAGGGCTTGCCGGGCATGCTAGAAACACAGTTGCCTTTTTTCCCCAAGCAACGCAGGATGAGCATTCTCTCTTGCAAACGTCCTGGATTTAAATGCTCAGTAACTTCTAGGAATAGCGGGTTTCATTTCTGTTTGCCTCGCACACAAGACTTATTCCACCTTTGTTTGCACACTGACAGTTCAGCGTCGATTCTCATGTATAAACAAAGTTTGAAGCCAGAAAAAAATGCTGGCGGATAAATTCAAACATACGCCTAATTTTTGTTATTTTTTTGACATTTAAATGGAAAAGGTAAGTTCTCAATTAAAGCGGTTTTAAAATGTTAGTGTCCTTGTTCTTACTAACCCAGCTAAATTCTGATGCGAAAAGAGACGCATGAATTTTTCTTACGGGTTTCTTAGAGAGACTCCTGCACTGGTCAGGCCAAGGGAACCCCTTGGCCATCCACCATCTCTCGCCCAAACGGATCGCTTCCGAGAAGACGCCGCGCACATGACCGCAGCCACCCGCCGTTTCTTGCGGTGCCATTCGTCAACGACCAGCCTCGGAAGCCTCTGCCCCAGCGCCCAGCCCGCGACCCTCCGCCCGCTGCAGCGTCCCCTTGGCCCGCCGCCGCGGCGGGTCCCCCGGGACCCCAGGG